TCAAAAGATAAGGTAAGCTCTCAGAACGACGCTCTCAGAATGGCCTTCTTTCTGCATGAATGGCAAAGGAACTGGTACATGAACTCCACATTGTCTGCCACACGTCTACGGGCGGTTCCATTGTTCGGAAAACCGTTTTTCGCTATGATACCTAAATTGCGCAATGCGATGGGACATAACGCATGTCTTCACGCATTCTTGTAACACTCCTTGTGGTTCCTTCGCTCGGTGACCATTAGGGTTAGATCGTGGATGGATGTTCCAAAACAGGCAACGTCTCCACCGCCTCTGAGGACCACCGTTGCACTCTCGCTTGTCCCCAGGAGGCCAGCGCACACTGCAATTTTTCTTTTTCTGCCTGCGAACATGGATGCACTCTCGCCTGCCCCCCCCCCCCCCATAAGCGCGTCCCTCTAACAGCCGTCACTGTATTCCCACGTATCGGCAAGTAGACAGGACCCTGACAGGCTCATGTTTTCCTGCCTATCTCCATCAGAGCGGCGCTCAGGGAATCGTCGCCATATTCCAATCTGTTTCTCATCAAATCAGCGCTCGAACGACTACCGATGTATGCCCACCTGTCCGCTAAAAGCAGTGGAGCAGTGCCCCGCTGGCCAGCGGTCCCCCAGCCTGTGGAGCGGTGCCCTGCTGACCAGCGGTCCCCCGGCCTGTCCCAGTGGAGCAGTGCCCCGCTGGCCAGCGGTCCCCGGCCTGTCCCAGTGGAGCAGTGCCCCGCTGACCAGCGGTATAACCCACCCTGTCCCAGTGGAGCAGTGCCCCGCTGGCCAGCGGTCCCCCAGCCTGTGGAGCGGTGCCCTGCTGACCAGCGGTCCCCCCGGCACTGTCCCAGTGGAGCAGTGTCCCCGCTGGCCAGCCGGTCCCCCGGCCTGTCCCAGTGGGGCGGTGTCCCGCTGGCCAGCGATCCCTCCGACCTGTCCCAGTGGGGCGGTGTCCCGCTGACCAGCGGTACAACCCACCCTGTCCCAGTGGGGCGGTGTCCCGCTGACCAGCGGTACAACCCACCCTGTCCCAGTGGAGCGGTACCCTGCTGACCATCGGTCCCCCGGCCTGTCCGCAGGAAGGCGGTGCGCGCCGCGCTATTCCTGCTGCCGCTGCTCGGCATTACGCACTCGCTGCAGATGTTTGAGCCGCCGCTGGACCGGTCCGTCGCCGTCTTCGGCTGCTATACCATCGTACTGGCCGTGCTCGACTCGTTCCAGGGCTTCTTCATCTGCTTTCTTTACTGCTTCATCAACCAGGAGGTAGGGGATCACAGCGTCTTCCCTCTTCGATCATTGGCCCCTTGTATTGATGACTATCAAGGTAAAGTATCATCTCTAGCTTACATACCACAGACTCTCAACACGGTCGCCAGCTCATGCAGCGACCAAAGGTTGGCCAAAAACCGCTCGGGATCAAAAGTGCCTTTCCCGCTTGTGTCTTCCGTGCTGACCTCCAGGTCGTTGCAGATAGGATGACCAACTTTTGCTGGTTTGGCTGCATGCCGGTTAACGTCAGGTTAATGAGTGTGTGTGTGTGGGGTTACGCCAGGTAGCATGAAGAGCCATGCGATATCAACCTATAAGTGTCGCCCATTTGTGATGGTAACTTGGGCGAACAACACAATCCGAACCAATGACAAATGAGCGTGTCATTATAAGCGAGCATTAGTTAGGTGACTCGAAACGGTTATAGAAATAACGTCGAATTAGCCCGACGTGAGTGTGAACTGAGCTGGCGCGACCTGACCTTGACCCGTATCTGTTGTGAATAATGGGTAGGGTGCTGACGTGGGTAAAGACGCATTTCATCTGGTACGGAATGGAAAAGTTGCGGAAACTGCGGGGAAAATAAGCCTTCGATTAGATCTTGAACTCTTTTTTATCTTTGTACAGACATTCGTCACACCATCGCTAGCCATGTGATTTGTTAATGTCCTCCAGGTGGAGGATGGACAAAGGCTGTCGCTAATCTCTTTTCCAGACCCCTCAGTTCGATCGTAAATGGCTGGGGAAGGTCACCAAGCCCCATGAATGTGTTAAGTAGCCTTATGACGACGCGCCAGGGTGCGGTGCATGGGCCTTGGCTCTCGCCTTGTGTTGATTAGAACTGCCTGTTTTGTCACCTAGACGATCCTGTGCGGTGTGGTTATCTCACCCCAAACTCATTGGATGACACATTATAACAGGACTGGTGCGGTGTGGTTATCTCGTCCCAAGCTCATTGGATGACACATTATAACAAGACTGGTGTGGTGTGGTTATTTCGCCCCAAGCTCATTGGATGACACATAATAACAGGACTGGTGTGGTGTGGTTATCTCGCCCCAAGCTCATTGGGTGACACGTTAGAACAGAACTGGTTCACTGTAAGCTCCTGGGTGTGACCAGCCTGGACGTGCTAAGGCGTGTGTGGGGACATGTTCGATTTCATGTATCAGGAAGGCTGCATGACTGGGTATGGCGAGGGGGCCAAAAAAGTTCCCGCATCTAGGTAACATTGTGAAATTGCCGCATCTAGGTAACATTGTAAAGTTGCCGCATCTAGGTAACATTGTAAATTGCCGCATCTAGGTAACATTGTAAAGTTGCCGCGTCTAGGCAACATTGTAAAGTTTGCCGCATCTAAGTAACATCGTAAAGTTGCCCCGTCTAGGTAACATTGTAAAGTTGCCGAATTTAGGCAACATAAAGTTGCCGCATCTAGGTAACATTGTAAAGTTGCCGCATCTAGGTAACATTATAAAGTTGCCGCATCTAGGTAACATTGTAAAGTGGCCGCATCTAGGTAACATTGTAAAGTTGCCGCATCTAGGTTAACATTGTAAAGTTGCCGCATCTAGGTACATTGTTTCGGGATCGAAAGCACAAACTGGTGCTGGCCAGATCCAACTCGGAACTCCATGCAAGTAACTCTAAACCTTCCACGAACAAACTGTACTGTAAGTGACAGCGCCGCCCATCTGAGGGCATCAAGTCGCAGTCTAGGGTGGCATGGGTGGAGAATGTGCTGTTTGTTAGGTGCAAATGGCCAGCTTCATATCTCTGCGGCCCAGAGGACAGGTGCTGAGCTCGTAATCCAGCGGCGCCGCTTACGAGTCCGGCAGCTGGTTCCAGAATTGTTTGACCAGGCTGACGTGGAAAGGTCAGGTGGCAAACTGCCAAAGGGTCAGACTGGCCCGAGGCGCTCGTGCCGGAGCTCAGTGGTCCTGGGCGCTCGTGCCGGGGCTTAGTGGTCCTGGGCGCTCGTGCCGGGGCTTAGAGGCCCGGGGCGCTCGTGCCGGAGCTCAGTGATCCGGGTCGCTCGTGCCGGAGCTCAGTGGCCCGGGGCGCTCGTGCCGGGGCTTAGTGGTCCTGGGCGCTCGTGCCGGAGCTCAGTGGCCCGGGGCGCTCGTGCCGGGGCTTAGTGGCCCGGGGCGCTCGTGCCGGGGCTTAGAGGCCCGGGGCGCTCGTGCCGGAGCTCAGTGATCCGGGTCGCTCGTGCCGGAGCTCAGTGGCCCGGGGCGCTCGTGCCGGGGCTTAGTGGCCCGGGGCGCTCGTGCCGGAGCTCAGTAGTCCGGGGCGCTCGTGCCGGAGCTCAGTAGTCCGGGGCGCTCGTGCCGGAGCTCAGTGATCCGGGGCGCTCGTGCCGGGGTTTAGAGGCCCGGGGCGCTCGTGCCGGAGCTCAGTAGTCCGGGGCGCTCGTGCCGGAGCTCAGAGATCCGGGGCGCTTGTGCCGGAGCTTAGTGGCCCGGGGCGCTCGTGCCGGAGCTTAGAGGCCCGGGGCGCTCGTGCCGGAGCTCAGTAGTCCGGGGCGCTCGTGCCGGAGCTCAGAGATCCGGGGCGCTTGTGCCGGAGCTTAGTGGCCCGGGGCGTTCGTGCCGGAGCTCAGTGACCCGGGACACTCGTGCCGGAGCTTAGAAGCCCGCAGCGCTCGTGCCGGAACTCAGTGCGTTATGTAAACCCTCCTTGGTTCTGTCTGGCAAAGGCTGTGGGTCAAATTTTGTAATGAAATCGATCGGTTCATCTTCGGTGGCGAGTGCGAGTGTATAGTAAGTATGCGCTGCTTGAAAAGTGCTCTAATAAAAGTAATGCGTGCTTGTCCATGAAGGTGCAAAATATTCCAGCTTAATAAAGGCTGCCGCATATGCGGTTTCTCTTAGGAAGCACATAGTGCCCGCACAAAGGATCGTTAAACTGTCGGTGACGTTGGTAGATCGGCTTACGGTTTCCGATCTTGGTGAGGAATATTAAGCTTTGTGACGTCACTTATTGTTTTCACAACGTGGTGCGTAGCCTAGGAATGTAAGAAAATGTACGAAAGACGTTGAATGGTTCTCTGACGATTTGAATTGAATGAGGTATGCGGTCGCAGCATGTCGTTTTCGTAAATGTTTTCACCAGTCAGTTATGGATAGCTGTAACATACTGTAACACAGCATCTTCGAATAAAGATTTTCGCTGTCCCGGTATTTTTCACTTAAACTAATTCTTGCACATAACAAATCAGTGTGGGCACATTTCGTTTGTCATCCTAGGCTGCAAAACTTCATTACATGGCGCGAAGACCCGCGCCGTGCACACCGTCTGGACATCACCACAGCTCTTCCGTATGGCGCGTCCGTGCCGTTTCGACAGTGAACAGATTCGATTGCGCTGATCAATGCAGTCGTTTCCCGCGCCTTTCTGCCACTGCCGTTCCTGCAGACCCTGCAGCAGCTGAATGCCAACATCCTCGCTGTTGTCCCGAGCGGGGTTGCGGCTGCGAATCGTGTCCCGAATTTGTGGCTTGCCATTTCTGAGAGGGAAAACCTCAAGTGCTCTTCCGGTGGAACGTGATTGCATGCTGTCTATGAAGGACAACTGGAAGCCGGAGAGACTCCATAAAAGCCGGACAAAGGCTGGACCGACGCGCTGCGTGGAGAGCTTCGTTACGTCATCCAGCCGCCCGCGGCTCCGTTGGGGAATGTGTGTTTATTGAAGGCCTTGCATTGGGCGGTTACTAATTTACGGACCGGGTTGAGCTGTTGTCAGCAGAGCTGATGCGATAGTAGTGTAAATGGCGGGACGCGGGCAGGTCTGATTACACCTGCCGGTCCTAAGGCATCTTTGAAAACGGCTGAATGGTGGTTAATTGGCTTATGTTGTGTGAGGCATTCCACTGACCCACAAGTGCAGCAGTGCTATAGACGGCCTGTCGACTGAACTTGCCTTACGTCGTGTAACCGGGAAATGTAGGTAGCTTCAGAGGTCCGACCCAGCTCACCCAAGCATGTCTTTGAAGGCGACTCGAGTGTTATATATGTTGAACGTTGAGTCGTCAAGCCATGCCGTTTCACTGATTGATATCCGCGTATACTTCACCCTCAGATTTTACGATCGCTTGTTTCATTTGCAGCTTTTACTCATTATTGATTTCCTGCAACGGCTCCAAACTGAAGGATGATAGCATAAATGTCCTCATTAGTTTAGAGTTGGATGCTTTGGGGTAAATGACATCTGAGCTAAGTTAAAGCCATCAAAAGGAATGTTTCACATTTGATGATATGGAAGCAAGCATCGTATGTGATGATATAAGTTCACTTATAAATATGATTATGCTGCTAGGTGGAAAAGACTGTTCTGAACATAAAAAATTGTTTATGAAGTAAATTTGTCCCGCAGCACAAAATTGATTGGCTCATGAAAAGTTTGTATAGCACTTACTTGTAGTTCTTCAATCTCCCGAGAGGTGCCTCGCGTTGGTGCTGAACGTATGATGAACTAATATCGTTAGTTGCTCGTGTTTTGGCCCTTTTTCGTGGTGTAATTGCATATTGATCCGTGAGTTGACGACGCTCACCTGCATTCACATACTCAGTTATTGCACCATTCTTGTGCCATTCGATTGGAAGTTTGTTGAGTGATACTTGGAAAAATGCATGATTTCTTGTATTATGTGGCACGGAACAAAATTGGTGTGAGAATCTTGCATAGGCTGCACAGCAATGATTGAGAGCCAATGGACGACCGTTACATTTTTAGGTCGTGTTCACGAATGTCAGATATGAACGACTCGACAATTATATTTGCCTTGATCTTAAACACTGCATGGCCAGTGAAATGGCAAATTTTTTATATCGTTGTTATGACGTCATGCACACCTGGGTAACCTTGAAACAAGTCTGTACGATATAGTCTGCCCATCCTGGTGGGCGTGTAGCTCTAAAGCTAGAGGGTTTAGAGGCTTAAGAAGGACAGGGCTGTGAACTGCACCAAATGTTCTTCATGATGGCTGTTTCAGC